CTTTACTATCTTCCAACAAAGTACTGTCTTCCAGCTGACTACCGAAGTCACTCGGCCAATCAGATAAAGTGTCTGCACATAATTCGCTCAAATGTTCTTCTCTGCTGCAACGTGTCATTTTAAAAACTTTTGCCATAATAAAAGATGGATGGAAAGAATTAGATGTATTGCTCATCACATCTCTGGAAATACTAATGGACAAGTTGAGAAAAAGGCATGCATAAAAAAAAAAAAAAAAAAAAAAAGGCATGCATAGCAGAGAGGAAAAAGGCATGCATAGAGACGCCCGAAATAAGTGCCAAGCAATGAAGTGGCTTGTACCTCGCACCTCTTATAATCAGAGCCAAACAAAGATAACTAAGAAAACAGTCTAGAGTGGTCTTTTAAAACTCTACATTGCTTTCAGACCTTAAAATTACTTAAATTAATGTAAGTGCAGACACAAGTTATCTCGTGACCAGTCAATGACATTTGGGAATGAAAACATGAGTTAACTTGTGACTGGTCAGCATGGTGTTAACATTTCTTGCAATGCTGGTTTTGTAGTAATAAAGTCTTTTACCCTTTTTTGTCTGGGAAGCTCTTTATTTCACCATCCAGTTTGATTGATAATCTTGCTGGATAGAGTAGTCTTGGTTTCAGATCCTCGTTTTACATTACCTTGAATACTTGATGCCATTCCCTTCTGGCCTGTAGAGTTTCTGATGAAAAATCAGCTGAAAGCCTTATGGGAGATCCTCTATAGGTAACAAATTGCTTTTCTCTGGCTACCTTTAAGATTCTCTCTGTCTTGCCCGGCCGGGCGTGGCTCAGCGGTTGAGCGTTGACCTGGGATCCAGGCGATCAAGGTTCGATTCCCGATCAGGGCACATGCCCGGGTTGTGGGCTTGATCAATAACTCTCTCATCATTGATGTTTCTGTCTCTCTCTCTCCCTCTCCTTTCCTCTCTCTGAAATCAATAAAGATATATTAAAAAAAAAAAGATTCTGTCTTGAATTTTTGGCATTTTAATTATGATGCGTCTGGGCATGGGCCTCTTTGGGTTCTTCTTGCTTGGGACTTTCTATGCCTCCTGAACTAGTGTGACATTTTCCTTCACCATGTTAAGGGAGTTTTCTGCCATTATTTCTCCAAACAGGTTCTCTATCCATTGGTCACTTTCTTCACCTTATGCCATTCCTTTGATGCAAATATTTTTATGTTTCATGTTGTCCCACAGTTCTCTTAAACTCCTCCTGTTTTTTGTTTTTTCTTTTGGTTTCTCTGATTGAGTGATTTATTCTACCCTGTCTTCTAATTCACTGACCCAATCCTCAGCTTCTCCTAATCTTCTGTTTATTCCTTCCAATATATTCTTTATTTCTGCTATGTCATTCTTAATTTCCTTTATAGTTTCCATATCTTTCCTCATGCTGTTGAGCATCCTTAAAATCAGAATTCTGAACCCTATATCTGACAGATTGCTTATCTCCATTTCATTTATCTCTTCTTCTGGAGAATTCTCTTGTTCTTTCATTTGGGACTTGTTTTTGGTCTCCCCATTGTGGCTGCCTATTTGGGTTTGTTACTATGTATTAGGTAGATCTGCTAGGACTCCCAGGCTTTTTGGATGGTCTCTAGTGCAGGTCTATGTCAGATGCTGTTTGTGACTGGCCTTAAGTACCCTGTTTTGAGCTCTCAATGATCCACAGCTTGTGGCTCCCTCTGTTGAGGCTGGGTGGGTTTGGAAAGAACCAAGATGCACACCAAGGTCTGCTTTTCCAAGCCCCAGGTCCAGAAGCAGATCAGGCAAAGACTCAAAGCATCCAGAAATCCTCCTTTGCCTGCAGGCTGATTGTTATTCTCAGTCTCTTAATGACCCTCAGGCTATAGAACACAGCAAGATATAAACTCCACAAGGTGGGGTGAGAGGTTTTCCAACAGGGTGAAACAATTGCTTCCCTCCACCAGGCAAAAGCTTCCTAAATGGTAAAGGTCTGCCTGAGAAAGATGTCTGCTGCTATCTGGGGGAATGACTCAGCCCAGGAATCCGAGCTCTATTCCTAGAACCCCTAACCCTGGATTCTCCTCACACAGCACTAGTCCACTCTGCCCTCCCACTGCTGGAACCCAAGGTGACTGGTTGTACATGAAAATTTTGTATGTTGGCCTTATAAGGGGGTGCCTGCATTTCTAGCCATTTCTCCCTGGCAAGCAGAAACCCCCACTCCTTTTCACTACCAGATGTTATATGGGCACCTTTCTCAGTTCTGGTGTTTTGGGCTGGGGAGCCCAGCTTGGGGTTTAGACCCCAGAGTTCCCAGTGAGAACCCCCCACAGCTGAAATATCCCTCCAGACCTTCAGCTACTGTCTGTGGGTGCCTGGCCAGCCCTCTTGTGCCTCCACACTTCCTACCAGTCTCTATGCAGTCTCCACTTTTCGTACTTGATTATGAGGGTTCTCTCCAGCTAGTCTTCAGTTGATTGTACAGGTTGCTTTTTCTGTTTTAGTTGTTATTCCAGTTTGGTCCTGAGAGAGTGTGAGTGTAGCTTCTACTTAATCCACCACTGTCTTGCTCTTCCACCAGGTGATTGGTTCTTAATTTCAAGTGCTGGAAGTATTGTTTAAGGCGGGGATTGGTATTCACCTATTTAAATGTGTTCCTTATTGTAATAGTCTGCTCAGGTTGCCATAATAAAATACCACAGACCAGATGGCTTAAACAACAGTAGTTTATTTTCTCACAGTTCCAGAGGATAGAAGTTCCAGATAAAGGACCAGTAGAGTCAGTTTCTGGTGAGAACCCTCTTCTTGACTTGCCAATCAGCACCTTCTTGTTGTGTCCTCACATGGTGCCAGAGGGGGATGGGGAGATACCTCTGGTGTCTCTTCTTCTTTTTAGGACATAGTCCTATCAGATTAGGGTCCCACTCTTATGACCTCAATTAACCTTGATTACCCTATCTCCAGATCCAGTCACATTGGGAGGTAGAGTTTCAAAATATGAATATTTTTTAGAGTGGGGAGTGGTGATGGTGAGAGGTGTGTGGACAATTCAGTCCATAGCATTTATGCTCTCCACAAATACCAAAAATACTTGGCTCATAAGACAGTGAGTTATGTTCAGAACAAGAGCTAGACCCAGAGTGGGTCATTAGCAGCTATTAGATATCTAAGTTTATGCTCAGTGGAAAATGTTATGTGCTTAACAGTGTGTGTTAGAAAGTGCCTCCTACTCCCTTCCGTACCCAACCCTAGACCTGAGTGTCCCCTCCCATTAAGTTGAACAGCACTTTCCAGAAACCAAGAGAGTTCAGCTAAAATTCCAGCCCTGATTCACCCTAGATCACTTCAGACCCTGTGTTTTCATTTTGTCATCTTTGAGATAAGAGGGCTAGTCCATGTGACCTCTTCGCCCAAAGATTCTCAAATTCTATGATTCCAACTCTGAAAAATCACCTAGCATTCCCCAGTCAGTACCCACTTGATCTAGACAGAAAAGTGCTATTTCCATGAAACAAATCTGCTAGAGTACCCATTTAAAAAAAATTTTTTTTGGCTGAAAAGTATACCCTTGTGTACTTCCACCAAGAATGAACCACAGGAGCCTGAACACAGTGATTATTTGCATTATTTTATTGCTACATTAGAAATAAAAATAAACTGTGAGAAGCTGCAAAAGCATGCCACTTCATGAAATCACTGCAGGATGGGACGGTCAGGTCCTCTTCACAGAGGAGGTAGGATTTGAGCCAAGCCTGGAAAGGTGAATAGGATGAAGGTAGAGTGAAGGTGAAGGAGGGCAAGGTTTCATGAGAGTGAGGAGAAACAGCTTGCCAACAAAGCCCTGAGTCAGCAATGCCCAAAGCTAGTGAGGTAACAAGGCATTTTCCAATTGCTCCCTAGCAACTTCCCATCACAACTCAGAGCAACATTATTTCTGCAACTTCACAAAAGCTCAGAAGGGAAGAAGCATCCTCCCTTATCTCTCTGTCAACCCTAAGCAAACAGATGGGACCAAGGTAGCCAGGAAAACATGTCCATAGAGCCATCTGGCACCAAATCTCACCTCCACCACTCCAATTGCCTAAGAGCATGAATCTCAGGACTGAGAACAAGTACTGTCATGGTTCCTTGGGTGCTCTGTCTCATTACCTCACTGAATCCTCACAATCTTGTAGACCCTATTCTACAACGGAGGAAACTGAGGTCCAGAGAGTTCAACTCACCAAGGCACTGCAGCTAGTAAGAGGCATGGCACGCCTAGGGTTTGAATCCAATTCTAATCTGACTCTAAAACCTGTGCCTTAATCACTTGCTGTATGTAGAGCCTAGTCCCACTAGTTCACAGCAGTTACAGGACCTACACAGACACTTTCAACATCTTGTGTCTCTTTCTCCCATTAATGCAGCCCAGCAACACTATTTGTCTCCAGAAACTTTTAATAATTAAGTTAATAACTAATAACTGTAAACTTTTAAAAACTAATAATTAATAATAACTAATAATTCTTCTATCTGAACTTCTGGAAACTGCCAAAATACACATGTGAGAGGATGAGACTGAAAAAGGTAAATTTCGTCATAAGTAAAATATTCCCCAAAGGGCTGACCTAGAAAAATAACCAGGAATGACCATTTAGGAAAGCCATAAAATGCAACAGGGTTAAAGGAAATCCGCGGTTTTTCTGTGAAATAAATACATAAAATATAAGTGTGAGGATAGAATTGATAATGCTTTGTCCACAGTAAAAATGCCCTAAATGTTGGCAGAATGCCAGAGGATCAAAACACTGGATTAGGTTCCACTTTTCCAGATACTGTACAGATCTTTTTGTGACAAATGAGGTGGCTCTGAAAAGAGCCTTTGGGTTACGATGTTCAGATGCTCAGGTGGTGCTGAGGCAGTTCATTTCTGTAGCTGGTACTGGAGCATAGCCTTGGTGCTCACGGACACGGCATGACTGCCGAGGTGCCCAGGCAGGAGCAGGCACACAGCTGTCTGGATGTCTCTGGAGGTCATGGTGGGGCGCTTGTTGGAGAGGACCAGGAGTGAGGCCTCTGGCCGACTGCTCTNAGCAGGCGCACGGCTGTCTGGATGTCTCTGGAGGTCATGGTGGAGCGCTTGTTGTAGCGGACCAGGAGTGAAGCCTCCTCGCCGATGCGCTCGAACATGTCCTTTTCGAACAAATTCGGATGAACACAGCCTGCCGCAACAGGCTCGGGTTCTGATGAAGGTTATTCAGGGTCCTAGGAGAAATAGGTGGCGAAACTGTTGAAGGTGGGGCGGTGGCACAAGCAGCGGCCCCTGGGCTTCTCCTGTTCCGGGATCTTTGTGGGGATCTTCTGTGGGCTCTCCGAATGCAGCAATTCCTCAAAAGTCTCAGAGGCAGGCTCCGCCATGTCGGAAGAGGTTCCCCACAGCCTGTGAGGAAGTACAATGGCGACTGCCGGGCGGCGAGGGGGGCTGCGGCATATGGGCGCTGCCTCCCCTGCCATAATAAGCCGTCTCCACGTCTGACTGGATGAAGTGCCAGTGCAAGGAGCCTGTCACTATTTCAGAGGGAATGCAGCAACAATAGAAAGAGCAGCGCTCCTCAGCAGTCGCCATTTCCTTCCTCACAGCCCGTGGGGAAGCCGCCTCCAACATGGCTGAGCCTTCCTCTGAGGAATTCCTGACGAACGAGCCCAGGGAAGTGGTCCAAAGATCCCCGAGCAGAAGCAGCCCAGGGGCTTCCTTCCCTAGCCAACCCTAGCCCTGGGTGTGCTGCCCTATTAAGCTGAAAAGCACTTTCCAGAAACTAAGAGAGTTCAGCTAAAATTCCAGCACTTACTCACTTTAGATGAAGTGAATGAAGACCCCGTGTTTTCATTTCTTCATTTTTGAGATAAGAGGGCTAAGGTCCTCAAATTCTAAGATTCCAGCTCTATGGAAAACCACCTAGCAGTCCCAAGTCAGGGCCCACTTGATCTAGACAGAAAAGTGACAAATCTGTTAAAGCAGGTTTCCCACACCCATACACGCTTTATGTCGGCAGAATGCCAGAGGATCAAACACTACATTAGATCCCACTTCAGCCATTGTACAGCTCAGCTCTTTTTGTGACAAGTGAGGTGGCTCTGAAAAGAGCCTTTGGGTTGTGATGTTCAGGTGGTGCCGAGGCAGCTCATTTCTGTAGCTGGTAACGGAGGACAGCCTTGGTGCCGGCGGACACGGCATGCTTGCCGAGGTGCCCGGGCAGGAGCAGGCGCACGGCTGTCTGGATGTCTCTGGAGGTCATGGTGGAGCGCTTGTTGTAGCGGACCAGGAGTGAAGCCTCCTCGCCGATGCGCTCGAACATGTCCTTTTCGAACAAATTCGGATGAACACAGCCTGCCGCAACAGGCTCGGGTTCTGATGAAGGTTATTCAGGGTCCTAGGAGAAATAGGTGGCGAAACTGTTGAAGGTGGGGCGGTGGCACAAGCAGCGGCCCCTGGGCTTCTCCTGTTCCGGGATCTTTGTGGGGATCTTCTGTGGGCTCTCCGAATGCAGCAATTCCTCAAAAGTCTCAGAGGCAGGCTCCGCCATGTCGGAAGAGGTTCCCCACAGCCTGTGAGGAAGTACAATGGCGACTGCCGGGCGGCGAGGGGGGCTGCGGCATATGGGCGCTGCCTCCCCTGCCATAATAAGCCGTCTCCACGTCTGACTGGATGAAGTGCCAGTGCAAGGAGCCTGTCACTATTTCAGAGGGAATGCAGCAACAATAGAAAGAGCAGCGCTCCTCAGCAGTCGCCATTTCCTTCCTCACAGCCCGTGGGGAAGCCGCCTCCAACATGGCTGAGCCTTCCTCTGAGGAATTCCTGACGAACGAGCCCAGGGAAGTGGTCCAAAGATCCCCGAGCAGAAGCAGCCCAGGGGCTTCCTTCCCTAGCCAACCCTAGCCCTGGGTGTGCTGCCCTATTAAGCTGAAAAGCACTTTCCAGAAACTAAGAGAGTTCAGCTAAAATTCCAGCACTTACTCACTTTAGATGAAGTGAATGAAGACCCCGTGTTTTCATTTCTTCATTTTTGAGATAAGAGGGCTAAGGTCCTCAAATTCTAAGATTCCAGCTCTATGGAAAACCACCTAGCAGTCCCAAGTCAGGACCCACTTGATCTAGACAGAAAAGTGACAAATCTGTTAAAGCAGGTTTCCCACACCCATACACGCTTTATGTCGGCAGAATGCCAGAGGATCAAACACTACATTAGATCCCACTTCAGCCATTGTACAGCTCAGCTCTTTTTGTGACAAGTGAGGTGGCTCTGAAAAGAGCCTTTGGGTTGTGATGTTCAGGTGGTGCCGAGGCAGCTCATTTCTGTAGCTGGTAACGGAGGACAGCCTTGGTGCCGGCGGACACGGCATGCTTGCCGAGGTGCCCGGGCAGGAGCAGGCGCACGGCTGTCTGGATGTCTCTGGAGGTCATGGTGGAGCGCTTGTTGGAGTGGACCAGGAGTGAAGCCTCCTCGCCGATGCGCTCGAACATGTCCTTTACGAATGAATCCAGGACGCACACGGCCTGCTGCGATAGGCTCAGGTCCTGGTGAACCTTACTCAGAACCTTGGGGAAATAGCTGGCGAAGCTGTCGAAGGCGGGGCGGTGGCGGCGGCCCCTGGGCTTCTGCTGCTGCTTCTGCTTCTTCTGCTTCTTCTGCTTCTTCTGCTTTGAGGTCGTCGGGATCTCTTCCGTGGGCTCGCTCGTGCTCAGCAGTTCCTCAGAGGCCTCAGTGGAAGGCTCAGCCACGGCGCCAACAAATTCCACAGAAGCCTCAGAGGAAGGCTCGGCCATTGCGCCGACAAATTCCACAGAAGCTTCAGAAGAAGGCTCAGTCATGTCGGAGGCAACTTCCACACAGCCTGTGAGGAAGTATAATGGTGATTGCCAGGGGAGCTGCCCTATTTATGGGCGCTGCCTCCCCTGACGTCATGGGCAGCCTCCACATCTGATTGGATGAAATGGCGGTACTAGGAACCTCTCACTGTTTGAAAGGGAATGCAGCGACAATAAAAAGGGCAGCACCCCTCCGCAGTCGCCACTGTCCTTCCTTGCAGGCTGTGGGGAAGCTCCCGCCAACATGGCTGAATCTTCTTCCGAAGCTTCTGTGGAATGGCTCGGCGCCTTGGCGGAGTCTTCCTCTGAGTCTTCAGACGAATTTCTCGACGCCATGGACGAGCTTTCCCCTGAGGCTTCTGAGGAATTGCTGAGCACAAGCGAGCCCACGGAAGAGCCCCCGAAGATCTCGGAGCAGAAGCAGCCCAGGGGCCACCGCCGCCGCCACTGCTGCCGCCCCGCCTTCGACAGCTTCGCCAGCTATTTCCCCAAGGTTCTGAGTAAGGTTCACNCTATTTCTCCTAGGACCCTGAATAACCTTCATCAGAACCCGAGCCTGTTGCGGCAGGCTGTGTTCATCCGAATTTGTTCGAAAAGGACATGTTCGAGCGCATCGGCGAGGAGGCTTCACTCCTGGTCCGCTCCAACAAGCGCTCCACCATGACCTCCAGAGACATCCAGACAGCCGTGCGCCTTGTCCTGCCGGGGGACCTTGCCAGGCATGCTGTGGCCGCGGGCTCTAAGGCTGTCCTCCATTACCAGCTACACAAATGAGCTACCTCGGCACCACCTGAACATCGCAACCCAAAGGCTCTTTTCAGAGCCACCTCACTTGTCACAAAAAGAGCTGAGCTGTACAATGGCTGAAGTGGGATCTAATGTAGTGTTTGATCCTCTGGCATTCTGCCGACATAAAGCGTGTATGGGTGTGGGAAACCTGCTTTAACAGATTTGTCACTTTTCTGTCTAGATCAAGTGGGCCCTGACTTGGGACTGCTAGGTGGTTTTCCATAGAGCTGGAATCTTAGAATTTGAGGACCTTAGCCCTCTTATCTCAAAAATGAAGAAATGAAAACACGGGGTCTTCATTCACTTCATCTAAAGTGAGTAAGTGCTGGAATTTTAGCTGAACTCTCTTAGTTTCTGGAAAGTGCTTTTCAGCTTAATAGGGCAGCACACCCAGGGCTAGGGTTGGCTAGGGAAGGAAGCCCCTGGGCTGCTTCTGCTCGGGGATCTTTGGACCACTTCCCTGGGCTCGTTCGTCAGGAATTCCTCAGAGGAAGGCTCAGCCATGTTGGAGGCGGCTTCCCCACGGGCTGTGAGGAAGGAAATGGCGACTGCTGAGGAGCGCTGCTCTTTCTATTGTTGCTGCATTCCCTCTGAAACAGTGACAGGCTCCTTGCACTGGCACTTCATCCAGTCAGACGTGGAGACGGCTTATTATGGCAGGGGAGGCAGCGCCCATATGCCGCAGCCCCCCTCGCCGCCCGGCAGTCGCCATTGTACTTCCTCACAGGCTGTGGGGAACCTCTTCCGACATGGCGGAGCCTGCCTCTGAGACTTTTGAGGAATTGCTGCATTCGGAGAGCCCACAGAAGATCCCCACAAAGATCCCGGAACAGGAGAAGCCCAGGGGCCGCTGCTTGTGCCACCGCCCCACCTTCAACAGTTTCGCCACCTATTTCTCCTAGGACCCTGAATAACCTTCATCAGAACCCGAGCCTGTTGCGGCAGGCTGTGTTCATCCGAATTTGTTCGAAAAGGACATGTTCGAGCGCATCGGCGAGGAGGCTTCACTCCTGGTCCGCTACAACAAGCGCTCCACCATGACCTCCAGAGACATCCAGACAGCCGTGCGCCTGCTCCTGCCCGGGCACCTCGGCAAGCATGCCGTGTCCGCCGGCACCAGGGCTGTCCTCCGTTACCAGCTACAGAAATGAGCTGCCTCGGCACCACCTGAACATCACAACCCAAAGGCTCTTTTCAGAGCCACCTCACTTGTCACAAAAAGAGCTGAGCTGTACAATGGCTGAAGTGGGATCTAATGTAGTGTTTGATCCTCTGGCATTCTGCCGACATAAAGCGTGTATGGGTGTGGGAAACCTGCTTTAACAGATTTGTCACTTTTCTGTCTAGATCAAGTGGGCCCTGACTTGGGACTGCTAGGTGGTTTTCCATAGAGCTGGAATCTTAGAATTTGAGGACCTTAGCCCTCTTATCTCAAAAATGAAGAAATGAAAACACGGGGTCTTCATTCACTTCATCTAAAGTGAGTAAGTGCTGGAATTTTAGCTGAACTCTCTTAGTTTCTGGAAAGTGCTTTTCAGCTTAATAGGGCAGCACACCCAGGGCTAGGGTTGGCTAGGGAAGGAAGCCCCTGGGCTGCTTCTGCTCGGGGATCTTTGGACCACTTCCCTGGGCTCGTTCGTCAGGAATTCCTCAGAGGAAGGCTCAGCCATGTTGGAGGCGGCTTCCCCACGGGCTGTGAGGAAGGAAATGGCGACTGCTGAGGAGCGCTGCTCTTTCTATTGTTGCTGCATTCCCTCTGAAATAGTGACAGGCTCCTTGCACTGGCACTTCATCCAGTCAGATGTGGAGACGGCTTATTATGGCAGGGGAGGCAGCGCCCATATACCGCAGCCCCCCTCGCCGCCCGGGAGTCGCCATTGTACTTCCTCACAGGCTGTGGGGAACCTCTTCCGACATGGCGAGCCTGCCTCTGAGGCTTTTGAAGAATTGCCGGGCACAGACAAGCCCACAGAAGACCCCTCCCTGAGATCCTGGGGCAGAAGCCCAGGCGCCGTCACCCCCACACTCCTACGTAGACAGTCAGTGCAAGGACAGGCAGCTCCCCCGTACCCTCATTGCAGCCCAGCTGGCCACTTCTGACCAGCAGGCCACTGGGGGCTGCTCAGAGGTGGCATGCACAGTAGGGGTGCCCCATGGAC